GTGCTAGGTGCCGGCCCCGCCCCGCCCCGCCCGGCTGAAACAGCAGCGCCGAGTAATAATCATTTCCGCGGGGCCCCGTGGCGCTCCGTGCGCCGTGGCGTGTTTTGCGGGTGACGTGCATCGGGGTCAGCTCCGCCAGCTCCGTGGCGGCGCGGCCGGCCCGAGCCGTGGCCGCGTGGTTCCGCGGGGCACTGCGGTCCGGGTATCCGCGGTGCCGCGGCACTCGGCCGCCGCGCTGGAGCACGCCGTCGGCGGCGTCGCGGTGGCGGTGGCCGAGGGACTCCATCTCCATGGACTGGAATGCAAATGGGATCAACGGCCGCGACTACACGCGCCTCGACACGCGGTTGACCGTCTAACACGCGGTGCTCGGCGTGCTCGGCGTGCTCGGCGTCCGGCCCGGCGGTACGTGCAAGTTTCGCAGTGGCGCTAAATGGCGGCGCCGAGCCTGCAGCGCGCCAGCGACGCGTCCAGCCCCATCAAGAGCGTCTTCCGGGAGCTCGGCGTGCGAATGCCCCACTGGCGGCCGCCGCAGTGTCGCCTCGCTTCGGCCGGACGGCTTCAAAGCGCTCCAAAGCCAAGAGCAGGGCGGCACCTCGACCATCACGCCCATCACGCCGCCAGCCGCCAACGAAAGCGACTTCAGCGAATGCACTTGCAAGCGCTGCAGGCTGCGATGCGATGCAGCGCCTTTTCCTTGATGAGTCATAAAAGCCCGGGCCGAGCGCCGCGCCTGGGGCCTGGGGCTGTCTAGCCGATGTAAAAGCGGCTGAAAGTCCATTAAAAAATGAGAGTCTTACGTAGCCACGTTTTTACCCCCTCCGGCCTCCCCCCGCTCGTCATTGTCGTCGTCATCGCCCCAGTTTTGCGGTGTCGCCGCCGGCCGCCAGCACACTGGGATCAGGGATCACACGGGCGGGCAGGCGGGCCGTGGGCAGGCACCCCTTCGCCGGAAACCTCAACGCTGCGGCGTGCTGGCGTGGCACAGTGGCGTGGCCGCGCGCGGGCGTGGCCGGCGTGCAATTCCTCTGCGCACGCACTCGTCACGCCGTCGTCACGCCGCCGTCACGCGCGTAACCCCTGGCTCGGCGTGCTCGGCGTGCTCGGCGTGCCCGGCGTGCTGCGCGGCGGGGCGCGCGTCACGCTGCCCGAGCACGCAGGCATCCCGGGCAGCGCGTCCGCCCGCAGCCCGCACCAGCGGACTACAAGCGCGGCTGCTTCCTGCGCATAAGCGCCTCCCAAACTGGCGACGGTTGTGATAACGAATCGCGGCCCATGACGCCACTACCGACCCTTAGGGCCGCGTGGCGCCTGAGGGGTCGGCGCGTCCAAGGTCGGCCCCTCCTCGGTCCGCTCAGGGTCGCGAGGCCGGCGCCAAATGATTCATTTGAACGGAAAGACGTGGAATAGGAGCGCGTCGCGGTGGCCCGGGTTTGGGCCTCATGGCGGCGTCCGGCGAGTCGATGACCTCCCCCCCCCCCCCCCGCCCCCACCTGGCGGCACCGGCGCGGCACCGGCTACGTGAAGCCCGCGGCGGCCGCGAACCACTCCGCCAAGCGACGCCGAGCCAAGCTACGCCAGGCCGGCCGGCGAGGCCCTGCCCGGCGTGGTGGGCCGGTGGGCCGCGGTGGGCCCCTCGCCCCGGCCGGCACCAGGCCGGCACCAGGCCGACCGGACCGGCGAACAGCGCCATAGCGCCAAGCCCGGCCTCCAGCGCCTCCAGCCCGGCCAAGCCGCCTGGAAATGGCTCTATCGAGGAGCCGCGCGGTTTCCGCGCTGCTGGAGAGCTGGAGTGCGCCCGCCACGCGGCTGGAGGAATGTTTGGCGAGCGCCTCGCTTTGACTGGGTCGTGACACCGGTCCCCGGTCCCATCCCGTCAGTCGCGGCGTCACCACACGCCGCCTCAAAAATTGAAAAGTGATTACGATAGCGCCTGGACCGCCACAACAGATATAGCAGCGTAGGAGCGTAGCCGCGGCCGGCTTATCTGCGGAAGGCTCAAGGTGTCCGGGGGATAATACGGCTAGCGTCGGCTAGCGTCCCGGACCGGCTGCTCGGCTGGCTTGGCTGCTCGCGGCTTTGTGGATGAATCGCTATCTGCGAGCCAAGCGGTTGAAATTGGACGCGACCATGGCGCGACGCAGCGCGACGACGCAGGTTGGCACTCTGGCACAAGGCACACTCTGCAAGCTGCACAGTCCCACGGCGCCTTCCCTTCCCCTCACTTGCAAACGCAACAAAAAAGAATAAAAAAATTTCGATTGACCTTTTTGTGTTTTTTCCCAGAAGGCACGAAGCGCGGCGTTGCAAAAGCAAGCGGCGCACCCACAGGCACAGGCCAGGCCCGCGGCCGCCGCGAAGCCTGACGCACTAAGTGACATCACCGCCGCTAACAGATTCCCCCACCAGGCAGCCCCAAATTCATGCACGCATCGGCCCTATGCAGTGGTGGGCGCGTGCAGCCATGAAACTTATCCCGGCCCAAGCAGTGAAAACGTGGGAAAATCGCGCCCGAATTAAAAACGGCGCACAAAAGGGAAAACGAAACGGACGCAAAGCCACCTCAAAAGTACACCAGTGTAGCAGCAGCAGCAGCCGGATTCAATTAGTCGAGGCCGCGGTGCCGTGGCGGGACGGCGGGCGGCTCACGACGATCGCCGTGCATAGTCGCGACTTCGACCTAAAAATATATGCCTTTATCTCCTTCCCCGGGTCGTGCACTTTCGGCGTCGCCGTGACGGCCAGCCTCCTACCGCCACGGCCTCAGCCTCAGCGCGCCGCCCGAACGGCAGGACGGACTCGCGGGCCAGCAGGCGGTCAAGAGGCACGAGACGGCCGCCGAAACACAGGGCACAGGGCACTCGACGCACTGGCCCCCGCACCCTCCCCAGGGTTGAGCCAACTGTGTTATTAGGCGCACAGGGGACGTCCGTGTGTCGTGTGAGTGTGTGTGTGGGGGGGGGGTATGCGAACGCTGCAAACAGCCGGAAGCAGCAGGGCCCGAAACTGCAGGGCCAGCATTGCATCCGACACCGCGCCGCGCCGCACCGGCCCCCTTATGTCGCCTTGCAGTCCCTCTCGCCCTCGTCACCCCGCCTCCCTGCGCCCTGCTCGCCGCCCCGCCGCCCCCTTTTCCTTTCCAGGATAAGGTGTAGAAGCGACGCGAGACAGCATAATGAATGGGCGGCGCGCTGGGGGACGCCTGGCCGCCGTCCTGGCCGCCGTCCTCCGGGGCCGCCCTTCCAATCCGCCTGCTGGCCGGCACGGCCGCGCGCCTCCTGGCTCGGCTGGCTTGGCCTGGCTCGGCTCCGCCGTCCCGCTCCGCATTCCGAACTTGTTGTGGCTTCTCCGCGAGGTCCCTCGGCATTCCTTCACTATCACACTCACACTCGGACACACACGGACACACACACACGGACACACACACGGACACACACACACACGGACACACACACACACACACACACACACACACACACACACACGAAACGCCCGCGCGACTGCATCCTCCTACAAACAAACACTCGCGCACGAATTGTCCTCATTCCTTTCGGCCCAAGGCAATCGATACAGTGTGCAAAAAGGAGCACGCTGAATGCCGAATGTGAGGTCGCCAAACTCCCCCCGAAGACCGAAACTCCCCGCCGGGGTTCCGGTGAGGGCGCACAGAGGGCGCAGGAGGCCAGCCGAGAACAAAGCACGAGCTTTTGCTCTTCCCCAGACAGGAAGAAACAGCTGTTTAGAGTCAGACCCCCCCCCCCCTTCTACTTTCCTTCCAGGGGTCCGCATGACAAAGGGGGTCCCCAGGTCCCCAGGTAAGCCACCTGCACCCAGAGCCCCCGCAGCACCCTCGCCCAACCGCCCAACATCATCCCGAAAGCCGCAAAAAAAAAAAAAAAAAAAAAAAAAAACAATAAGACGGAGAGGAGTCTCGAATGCGTTTCCAATTCACAACAAAGATGGCGCAAGAGGGAGGGCGAAAGGACGAAAGGACGAGGGAAAGGGCGAAACTGCATTGAGTGGGACAATCTGAGCATGATCTGAGGCATTCGGACGGGCCGGCCCGAATGCCAAAGCCTCACTCCGGGCAGCTTCAAGTATTCCATTCTGCTGGTCCGGGGCTCAGTCCCGGCATTTCGGCTCCAGCCGGCTGGAAGGCAGCCTGGAAATCCAGCGGGGGACGGTGGCCGCGCTGGCTGGGAGTGCTGGGAGTGCTGGAAGTGCTGGGAGTGCTGGAAGCTGGGCCTGGAGGGCCTGGAGGGCCTGGAGTGGCCGCCGCGCTACCCGGTGCCGCCGCGCTACCCGGGGCTACCCGGTGCCGCCGTGCTGGAGCTGGAGCGGCTGGAGCGGCTTGGTAGAGCATGGCTGGAGAGCGCTGGAGTACCGTAGTGAACCTTGGGCCTTGGGCCGGTGCTTTGAACCCGTTTGGCTCGGCTCGACTCGGCTCGGCTGGCTCGCTGGCTCCAGTCGGCATCGCTCGCAGCACTGGACTGCACCTGACTGGAGGGGGGACGCCGCGCCGCCACGCCGCCACGCCACGCCGTGACTTGCGATGCACCGGCGGGGCACTGGATGGGCACTGGTGGGGCCATGCCACACACTGCACTCCATGCACTCCGAGCATCCGCCTGCCTGGCCTGCCTGCAACCGACCCGTCCAGCCAATCCATTCCCAAATGAGCCGCCCCCGCCCCCTGTCCGCCCCCTCCGCCGCCCCCACCGCCCCCGCGCCTCCATCCGGTCCAGTCCGCCGGGATTCCACGCCGAGGGGCAATATCAAGTTCGAGCAACCCAATAACAGCGTCGGAAGCAGGAAAGTCTTTCAGAGGGTTCAAACAACTGGTTCAAAGTGATGCGAACTGAAGCGCTGGTGCCGGCTGCAGGCCTGCTGGAGGCCTGCTGGAGGCATGCTGGAGGCCTGCTGGAGGCATGCTGGAGGCCTGCTGGAGGCCACGCCAGCGTCCAGGAGGACTACGACTTGAGTAAAGGGCCGAGGCTCACCTTGGTCGATGGGCGGCTGCAGTCCGTAAGCGGGCAGCCAGCAGTGGTTCGAGTCGGCCGAAAGGCTATCCAGATGGGCACTCCAGTCCGAGAAGGACATGTCGTCGTCTTGGGCCATGCCGGCCATGCCGCCACTCATTGGCACACACACTGCCTCATCGGCTCATTGGTGACAGCCTCCCCCACTGCACTTCACCGTCATCCCCGCACGCCGCACTCTCACACACACATACGCGCCTACACTCATACATTCACATTCACACGCGCGCGGCCCTGTCAGAGGACCGGCAGTCGGGCCGTCGCGTTGCCTCGCGGTACTGCCGGCACAGCGGTTGCCTCGACGCCCTCCCCGCACCGCTCCACGGTCGCAACTGCCTCGCTTCGCTTCGCCTTCGCCTTGCGCCCGCCGCCCGCCGCGCCGCCCGCTCTCGCTGACGGCCGCTCGCCGGCCCCAGCCCAGCCACGCCGCAGCTCCCCGCCACGCCTCGCCACGCCCCGCCGCACCCCGCCCCACCTGGCCGGCTGCATACCCAGCCCGGAGGGGTGGTGGGGGTGGGTGGGAACGGTGGGCACCTCAAACCCCCTCTTACCGTCGTCGCTCCCTTTGTGTTGTTGCATTCGTCCCGTCTCCGTCCCACTCGAGGCGCTGCTGGGCGCTGCCAGGACGTTTGTTGTCGTTCGTTCTCTCTCCCACCGCCCCGCCCGCCCCGCTACCTGTGGGTCACGTGGCGCGGGGTCCACGCTACGAGACGCACGCACGCACGCGCGCGCCAAGGCATGGCGACAGGGCACGGCAGGCACGGCAAGCACCGCGACTTGCAGTCAAGAATAACGAATGCACGCGGCACTCTGTGCATTGCGGTTTGGCTCGTCGCCGGCACCGGCACCGCGGGGCTCTACTCCCTCCTAGCGGCGTCGAGCTGCAGGGCAGAGGACGAACTCTGTTTTGGGGACTGTATTCAAATCCTTTTCATTTAGCAAATGCGCCACTTTATTCTAATATGTCAATCTTCGTCCTTTTCCGCAGTTGCACGTTTTGCGTCGTGCTGCTGCATAAAACGTTGGGGCAAGCGGACTCCCGTTTCGGACAGCGCTGCCTGGCACGGCCTGGGCACGCCACGGCACGGCTCCATCATTTCAAGCCCAAGGGAACAAGGGAACGACCACCGGCCTGCCGCGCTGCCGCGTTTGCCCTTTCCTTGGCGAGGCTGGCCGGGCTGCCGGGCAGGCCGCTCCACTCTGCTGCTTTTCCCTGTATAAATAACTTTAGCGATGAAGTCGTGCTCGGTCCACCTCGGGCCCCAGTGGGCCCCACCGGCCCCATCCCTGTCCGGCAGTGAAAGCAAAATCCCTGCAGCAGCTACAGTAGTGCGCGGCGGCGGGGCGGGGCGGGGCTGGTGGTGGGCGGGCGCCCTGGCGCAGCACAATATACTAGACTGCATAGACTGCATGAGCTCGGCTGCACGGCCGTGTTGCTGCAAGCGCTGCAAGGTGCAGTGTTCCAGTGTTCCTCCGAGTTCCGCCTCCTGCTCGGCGCAGCTCGGCGCTACCGTGCTTTTGTTACTGTTCCACCCGCAAAACTCTCGCCTTCCCTTTCCTCCCACTCCCTCTCACTCCCGCCCCCGCCGCCGTCGTCATTGGAGCGGCGCGCGGCACGGCCGCACGGCGCGGATGATCCACGATCCCCTTTCCATCCAACGAGATCATCATCTTGCCTCGTTCTCCTCCGTTTATCGACGGAGAGGCCTGGCGAAGCCCGGCACCCCGGCGGAGAAAAGAAAAGCTCCCACCTGCCATCCGGAAAAAAGGGCAGGCCGGCCCGCGCGACACTGCAAGTGAGCGGGTTGCCTACCCGCCTGCATCGTTGGGGCTATTGCGACTCGACCACAAATAATCCAGCAGACTGATTCCGAGAGTCGCTTTCGTCGCTCTGTCTCCCTCGCACTCATAGGGCGTCCCAATCAGTCTGCTGGTGGCTGGGATGCTAGAGGCAGTGTCGCTTGGACGTGGACATCTCCCTCGTGCGGCGAGGGGCGGGGCGGGGCTGGCCGCCTACACTGGACGGTGATTGAGATGCCGGCCGTGGCGGACTGGCCTGCTAGTCTGTGCTGCAGGCTGCAGACTCCGCGCTGACTCTTGTGGCACGACTTGACCTGGTCACGAGCGAGAGATTCCCGATAACGCCACCGCGCCATGCCGGGACCGAATTGAAACACACTTCATAGTTTGCCGAACTCCCTGTCTCCCAGAGAAAGCAGTGCTCCCGTACAGGACGAGGTGCGTTGGCTTCCGAAAACAAACAGAGTATTTTCCATGGGTACATTTATTTTTATGTAGATGCAGTTGAAAAATGGCAGTGACAAGACCATAAGATTAACAAGATTTAACATCATATCTGGTATGGAATGTGATTAAAATTGTAACAAGGGACAAAACAACATCATATATGAACCATACACTTGTGAGATAAGGCCCTTATAAATCACTGTTACAAGCCTAATGAATAAAAGTCTCATTTTCTAGCACAACTATCAACAATGGCGTGACTCTGGAATGAAATACACAAATAACATCTGTCAGTAGTTCGGGATTCATGGCTAAAGTCTTTAATTGCATCTTCGTCCTTTAAAATCTATTCACAATAATATTTATTTTTTGATGACTAGAACCGGTAAAGTGAGGTACATAAATTGGACTGAAAGGCACAATCGTTTCAAAAGTATATTTTCATCTTTAAGGGTGGTTATTATGTAAAGCACATCAATTAAACAAACAATAAGGTGCAAAAATTTTAAATTAAAAAATCTACAATGATCCAGAAGGATTCAGCACCTTAAAAAGCAAAACTTTAATCACCAGAGACTGGAATATCTGAGATATCTAATTAATTCATACAGGAGGACGAGATCACAAATACATATCAAATGGGTAAAAATTTATAACACATTCAAAAACCTACCTTATAAGTTAGCACTTTGAAAACTGACATATATTTTTAAAAATTCAGTAACACTTTTATTAAATATCACATTTGTAATACAATAATGAGAAACACAGTCTGGAACAGCTTTTGTAAAGCTCTCTTTTAGACACACGAGTAAAATCAAAGCAATGTAACAGTCAACAGGTTTAGAATTTTCATTATATTGTCTTCCTACACAATTCCAGATGGAGCCAAAACAAGGCACACATACACACAGAAAAATTTCATCCGCCACAATCAAATAGAATTTTAACTTACCACAATTCAGAAAAATTTCTAACAATATATTATTTAAATACTGTGCATCACAGTTAATGGAATCAATACAATATGAGGTAAAGTTAAACATCGTCATTAACAATGTGATTCATAGCTACAAATACGGTATATTATCCATGCTATCTGAATTCTATGGTAACAACCACTGCACTACACTTTCTGTAAACAATTAGCACCACTACAGAAAATTTCTAAGGCTTTCAAATGATTGTACTCAAAAAGAGGTAATGATAAGACTTTCATTAGCAGCAGAAAGCAAAGTGTATGGAATATCTTTCTTTGTGCTTCAGCCTCGCAAGCCTGTCCAAATGGACCCATAAACATTTCTATATAAGAATGGAACCAGGTGTTCATGATGATTTCTCAGGACCATCTGATTTGATATAGAATGCGGTATCATAACACAATATACAACAAACAAGAAGAACACATTGGCACAGGAATCACAGAGAGACATACACAAAAATGGATGGCAAAATTATGGAAGCAAAGTAAAAGTAACAGTCTGATATAAAAGGTTTTGAGACCAAATGACAAATCACAAAATTATAACCACATTTCTCTCAATTAATTAAGGCATGAAATAAATTAGGAAACTGTGGAATACAAGATTAAAGAAAAGACCCAATAAAATGATAACTATGCAAAGTTATTCAAACTGTAACCTGAACATTCTGCACAAAGTTACTCCACTCAACCTTTGAGGGGACTAAATAAAATGCTGGTGACACTTTGGCACCACACGGACATTGGCATCCTGAAAAATTAAACATTTTTTTAGCAGGAGACTTAGCAGTTATTTCTCAAAAACCTTTGGACACACTTACCCATGATCCAACTAAACGATCCCAGTTTAGTGACACACTTGGGGCAATTCAATTTGCCTTGCTGCTGGTGTGTGACTTCAGTCATCCACCCTAGAGGCTCCACAAAGTAAGTCTCCTGACATGCTGGTGGAACAGAAACACTATTGTCCCCAGCAGTATCTGGTGGTTGGGGTGTTTTAATGCCACCTTTTCCTGCGCACTGCATGAGTTCAGTCAGACGAGGGTCGGTCCATTTTGGGCTCTCCTTGGGAATGTGTGGGAGCATATTTGAAGCAGATGCTACAATTCTCCTGAAATTTAGGCATTATGGCCGCATTATGAGAGAATACAAGGATGGAAGCGTTTCCAAAGCAAACTACAGAAAATTGAATTCTTACCTGCATTTACGGCAGCGATACACTAAAGGCTCTGGCTGAGCTCTGATCAAAGCTGGATCTGGTTGCACCAAGTCCAAGAATGCAGTTGGTAGGATCCTTGCTGCAGAAAAAACATCAAATGAATAAAGAGAAAATTGTAGAGCTCTAGAAAAATTATCTCTGAAGACAGCGTAATATCAAAATTAATTTATTCCACACCTTTGCTAACATGGTAGGCTGCACAATGAAGACGGAAGAGTTTGTACTGTGGGTTGGTGGGATCTATCTTCCAGCCCATGGTGTGGTAAAGTTTCAACTGAGATTGAAACCCTGAATTGGGCCCCACAAATCGTCTCTTTTCTTTGGCTCTAAATTATAGAAATGGAACAAGGTAATTATTCAAAATGATACTAGTTAATAATTCCTTGCAAAAAATTTGATGAGACTTACTTTTCAAAAGCAGATTCGAATGAAATTTTGTATTTTTGCATGAGGTATGCTATAACAACAGCCGCACTCCGAGATACTCCAAAATAGCTGAAAAAAAAATCAAAATACATTGCAAGCAAAATATGAATAGGCTATGCAATGTACAATGATTGTATGACCTACCAATGCACAAGAAGAACTCCATTCTCAAGAGATGAGATGATAAAAGAAACTGCACTGTCAAGAATGCTGAGTAAGTCCTCTTGAGATGTGTCTGTAACTGAAAGTAAAGCAAAATCATTAAACTAAAACCACAAAAAATAGTTGGTTATTTTTTTTTTAGTCAAATGAAGGAATCTAGTATTGTTTTCGTTTAAAACTAACCTTTGATAAACTTTGTGACCATGCCAGGTTGTTCCGTGATATTATTTGGTAATGAGCAAGAATCAACAGTAAGTATATGTGAGATCCCATGAGCCTGCAACGTTTCCTTGTCAGTGGCTGCTGTCAGGTTTCCTGAAAATACAGAAGAAAGACAGAAATTAAATGTAAAAAAAAAACAGAGGCAGAACAAAACATTAGATTTTTATAACCACTCACCCAACCAAAGGCCAGGCTCAATTTCATCCAAATTGGTTGGTCCAGCATCGAAATCCTCTCTTAGGAGAACTCCCGTGTCTTTTAGTTTACTCATCACAGCTGACTGGTAGCTTGCAAACCCTGAAGAGAATGCATCAAATCAATTTTTAAAATAAAAAAGGTCTGCATTGAAACAATAACATACACTGAATAACTTATTTTATTTACAATAGAACAGGCCTTAAAGGTAGCTCATAAAGACCAGGACAAGGTTTCTTTAAGAACTAGGAATGCTCATTAACTGGAACTAAAATCGAAACTACCGACATAAAAAGAAAGTAATTCAAGAACACGTTTACCTTACCGCGAAAAGATTCTAGCAGACGAAATGGACCAGGGAAAACAACAGATCGACGGAATCGATTTTTTAAGTTGGTACTGCCCTCACTTCATTTTGTGGTTTAAGTCTTTCCGTCATATTCGATGTTTATAGGTACTAAAGAGTATTTTGTTTTGCTTTTCGTCCCGGCATCGTGTTTATGTAAAGTAAGAGACGATATATTTCAGAATCAATGAACCCGAGAGGTTGGCATGCCTGCAGCTTTCTGCTACGTCTGCAAATAGTGAGCTTGCGTGTCAACAGCCAAAGTTGCGCTGTATGCAGTTCACCTTGCAGTTGAGAGCGGGGTGGGTGCGGCGGTGGATGCGAAACTGACCGCTTGTTCTGTCATTGGCTTTTGTTTGGTTACCGTGGAAGTACAGCTGGTGGCAACATACGCCGAAGATGGGGGCCCACGTCTCCAGGACAGATTTTGAGTGGTCGTACACGGAGGAGCCTCATGCTAGTCGCCGGAAAATTATTCTCGGTGAGCTCTAACCTCTCCTCTTTAATCAGCCTCTAATTCCACCGGCGATCCTTTTGTTTTAAAGATACTATTTTTCTTGTGGACCCTTGCTAGTGATTATCGCTCTTCCTGAAGTCTGTTTTTGTTTTCCTGTTGCAGAAAAATATCCCCAGATCAAGAAATTGTTCGGCTATGATCCATGGTTCAAATGGCAGGTTACGGGATATGTTTTGATGCAGTTTATTATGCTGTTTGTGATGAAGGATAGGTCTTGGCCTATGATATTCCTTGTAGCATACTGCTTTGGCGGAGTGATTAACCATGCCCTTATGTTAGGTAAGTACGGAAGGCATGTTTAGCTTATGTGTTTTTTTTTGCTGTTCGGGTCGCCTTCTCTTTTCATTCATAAAATTCTAAGCCATTAAATCTTGTGATGGAAATATGATTGATTGCAGTTCTGTTAACTTTCTTAGTAGGCATTAAGTCACCAATTGAATAATATGACTATTCGTCATTTTTATTTGAATCCCTTTTTATGTCATTTATTAATGAATGAAGATTTGATTGATGACTTTCGAATTTCTCACTGGTACGACACACAATCATCATGATTGCTCTCAAACCTCGTGTAAATTTAATGTCAGAAATAAGATATTTACTGGCCATTTTCCTGCTAGTGCATTGTCGGCATTCCAGAATCAAACTGAAGACGGCTGTAAATGTTTGTCTTGCAGCCAATGTTGCTTGTCAAAGGCCAGAAAGGGCCCATCTGTAAAGCAAACTTGCCCCGCGCCGCCCCTTCCCCTCCCTTTCCCTCCCCCCCCCTCCCTCCCCTCCCCTCCCCTCCCCTCCCCTCCCCTCCCCTCCCCTCCCCTCCCCTCCCCTCCTCCCCTCCCCCCCTCACTCCAAGCCGCAGAGGACAGATGGACGAGTGATGTGCAATGCTCTCTACCCGCACGTCGCAATCCCTCGGTCCGGAGAGGAGAGTTCTCGAAATCCACTTCCGGTTTCCGAGCATTAGTCTCGCTGATCGCGTGCGTGCCATGCCGTGCCCCGCGCCGCGCCGCGGTGCTTGTCGCGTCGACGGCGTCGCGTCGGCGGCGTCAGGGTCAGTGGGTCATTTGGGAAGGCAGGGAAAGGGGCGGGCCCGGGTTCGATTCCACCCGGCAGCCGCCCTCAGCCCCTCGTGTTTTTACTTTTTTTTTGCATCCACGCCTTTTTTGGCCGGCTGCTCGAGCGGGGCCCTGTGCGCCCCGCGCCACTGGTACCCACGTGCCATGGAGTGATTGGCGAGGCCTACCACCTCCACACCACTCGGCACACTGCGCGAGGCGCTAGGCCCTCGCGCCTCGCGTGACTCATGCCCATGCGAGAGCGAGAGAGACGGGCTGTGGGCGACCAGGCCCGAGGGTCCTCGACGGTTCGCCGCGATCCGCTTATCGTTACACCAGTCGTCCTCTCTCTCTCTCCCTCTCCTGGCAGACCCCTTGCACACCGCACTTTCGTACGTCCTGGGTGCGGCCGAGAGGTGCTACGTCACGCATCGTCATACCCATGCGCGTTGAGTCCCTCTTTCCTGTCAAAAAATTAAAAATCATCAATTTCGCAACACGACAACACAACAAGTATTTTTTTAAAAAACATTTTAAAAAATGCTTGTGGAATAAATTATGATATTTCAAATAAATAGAAACTTTTGTTGTTAATTTGTATGATATTCTTGTGTCTGTTACAGCTATTCACGAAATTTCTCACAATTTAGCATTTGGCCATGCTCGTCCCATGGCTAACAGATGGCTTGGATTCTTTGCCAACCTTCCTATTGGTATACCTATTTCTATCAGTTTCCGTAAATGGCACTTGGAGCACCACAGGGTCAGTCATGATACTATTTTGTTTGCTCCTCTTTTAGTTCACCAACAGAAAAAAATTAATTACAATTTTTCTTGCAGTATCAAGGTGATGAGGTCCTAGACACCGACATTCCCACTTATGTTGAGGCAAAACTCTTTTGCACAACAGCTGGAAAATTCCTGTGGGTTGTTCTTCAACCTTTCTTTTATGCTCTGAGGCCAATGTTTGTTTACCCAAAGACACCAGAAACTCTTGAAGTGGTCAATCTTCTCATCCAGCTTACATTTGATAGCCTGGTGTATTACTTTTTTGGTAAGTGTTTTCAAATGTTCTCCTTTGTTTCTTTCCTTCCTTGTTTTTCTGGTTTGCTAAAAAAATGTGTTTTACTTTGCAGGTGGAAAGGTTTTGGTGTACCTCATTGCAGGATCCCTCATGGCCATGGGCTTGCATCCAGTCGCAGGCCATTTCATATCAGAGCACTACATGTTCAAAAAGGGCTTTGAAACGTACTCCTACTATGGCATTTTGAATATGGTGACATTCAACGTTGGCTACCATAATGAGCACCATGATTTCCCCGCTGTACCAGGGTCACGTTTACCTGAGGTAAGATGGAATTTTCTGTTGACTTACTTTTACTCTCTAACCCTGTTCATCACTCCAAATTATTTTTTGAATTCAGGTGAAACGTATTGCAGCTGAGTTTTATGACAACCTTCCCCAGCACCATTCTTGGGTATCAGTGCTGTATGACTTTGTGACTGATCCAGAAATTGGACCATATGCACGAATCAGGAGGAAGCACCGAGGCTTGAAGTCATAATGCTCATTGGCTTTTAAACATGAGATTGGACTGATGTGTGGATAAAATTAAAATTTAATTGTTTGAACAGAAATTGTAAATTGGATGAGATTTGAGATTTCAATGAGATTTGTCATTATTATTAAATTTATGTATTCTGCTCTTCTATGTATACACATTTGAGGAATATGGAAGGCAGGAAGTACAGACCAGGTAACATTTAAATCAAAAGCACTATGCCATCTTTCCATAAAAGGTACAAGATTGTCATTGTCTCTTATTTTATTTGTTGATAGTTTCACTGTTTCCTTACATTGATTGTTGCGCATGAAAGAAAAATTGGCAAAAATGTCAAAATTATCCTATTTTCATTGAGTGTTGATGCTGCAATTCATAGATCAGTACAGAGCTTCAGTTTGCTTTAACATAAATTTGATGTAGCTAGTTATATTTTTATTTTATCTTTTAGAGAGTCATAAATGATATGGATATCAATAATTTGTGACGAACTTTTCCAAGCATTTCTGTTAACAACTTTACGGGTTCCTAAGAGAATGATGTTGTACTTCAGCTATTTATTTTGGAAGACCTTTGTTGCACTCTAATGTGAGGAATTGATCGAGTGAAATGTTTCTGTCTGCACTTTGCTTTATTAAAAGTGCCTTCTGCTTTGCTTTCCTTAATCTTTTTGTCTTGCTTGAAGTATCGAAACCTTACCTGAACCTCTCTGCTATTCCAAGCACTTCTTTTTATCATGGATTTAACAGTAGATCTACTGTAAATTTTGCATTTATCTTTTCCCACAATTTATATTGTAGTTTCAGCCAAATTTATTCTCTGTGTAAATTTTATTCTTCTACTGTATTTCGTACCGGTGTCATGCTGGTGCCTGGAAATTTTCACCTGTACTATGTATGGTTGGAATACTTCTTTGACTGTCAAGCTAAGTTTAAGTTAGCTATGTCTGTGATGTATGTATTTGCTAGGCGATAATTAATGGATAACAACAAATGTCATGAAACAATTTTTCAGGCTAACTGTACCATTTGCTTGCTTTTAAGTATTCCATTATTGAGAGAAACCTGAAGTATTTGTACTGTGACAGCACTTTAGATCAAAATTAGCATAGCTGTAGTCACTAAGTGCCTTTGAATCTGTTACATCTGTTGAAGATTAGTGTATTTTGTAGCATTTTATCCATGAAGCTTCAAGCTTTTGTACTGAAGAACAAGCCAAGCCACCCCTTTTATGTAACGTTATGATTGTGCTCTTTTGCCAATCCTCTCTAACATACCGCATGTCTAATAAATTACACTGTTTTATGACGATCCAGCCGTGTTCTCGTTGGCCACCGCACCCTCTCCTCCTCATAAAAGGCACGCCCTGGCGTTTGGACGCTCTCTTTTTCTTCTTCCTTTTTTCTTTTTTCATTCGAGTGCAGCCAAATGCACCTGTCGCGACGCGACGGATGCGCCGACAAGGGCTGCTGAGCTCGGCGTTGCGCGTTGCGTCGCGCTGGCCCACTGGAACGACACAGCCAATCCAGCCAATCACAGCGCGGCTCCAGCCGTAATTAGCTAGGCGCTGCTCTAGCCCGTCCCGTGGCTCTAGCGCTCTAGCCTGCCGCCCTGCCTCTTTGGTCCACTCATTGCACCCACTATGGGGACAGCCTGCATACGTGCCACTGGGCGCCCGCTTCACCATCGCAGCTCTTTTGTTGCTACTTTCGTTCGAAAACGAAGCTGCAAAAACGAAACGCGTGACATCGTGTCCGCTCCTGTGCGAGAAATAATATGTTGAAGGAGCGTGGCCTCGTCTAGTCTAACTGACACGAAATAAGGAGGGAATTCCTCCGGGAAGTGCAGGGACTTCCCTGCTGCTGCGATTGGCTGCCCGCGGGAGCGAGAAAGAGAGAGGGGGGGGGCGAGGCTAATTAGGCATCGGAAGTCATAGAGCAGCCGATGTGGTCTAGCCAGTGTAGCAGGCAGCGTGGCCCATTCACCGCGCGGCGCGCCATTCTCTGCCTAGACCGACGCTCTCGTTTCGCCACGCCCTTGTCTAGGCAGTCCAGGCGGTGCGGCAGGAAAAAATAAAGAATATTGACAGGGCAGCAACGTAGGACTGCATCGGGTCGGTTGGGTGCTGCTGGAGAGTTGGAATTATTACCGCGAGGCTCGCAGATGGGAGCGCGTCCAGCGAGTCGCGAAGTATCCACGCGCGGCCAGGAGGCCGCGAGGCCAGCGAAGCCAATTAAAGAGATCTGAAGGACGGCGGAGCATCTCGAGGTATCAAGTGGCGCGGTGGCTGCGGCTTCCATCCCTGGGCGGGGCGGGGCGGGCGGGCGGGGCGGGGCGGGGCGGCCACGCGCGTGCGCAGGGAGGGCAAAGAGCGGCCCTGCTTCTAGAAGCTCTAGAAGCTCCAGGGGCGCGGAGAAGCGCGGGAAAACGGGCGGATCGCATCGCGGCAAAGTCCGGCAAATCGGGGCCAGGCGGGAGAAAGCGGATAGCGGGGTTAAGGTGGAAAGCGGGGAGAAGGTGGAAAGCGGGGAGAAGGTGGAAAGCGGGGTAGAAGGTTGAAAGCGGAGAGAAGGTGGAAAGCGGGGAGAAGGTGGAAAGCGGGGCAGAAGGTTGAAAGCGGAAAGAAGGTGGAAAGTGGGGAGAAGGTGGAAAGGGGGGAGAAAGTGCAAAGGGGGGAAGAGGGTGGAAAGCGGGGAAACTGATAAGTTTGCGCAGAGGACGGGGCGAAGGGCGAAAGCGAGCAAGCCGAGCGAGTAAGGCACGGAGAGTGAGTGGAGAGCGTGGTGGCAGGGAAGCAAAGAGAGAGGCTGCCTGCCTGGCTGCCCGCCTGGCTGACTGCTGACTGAATGGGCCGGGCTGCCTCCGGCTGCCTCAGACCTGAGCTGCCCTTTTCCGCATGGTTTGCTACTCCGCTAGGCTGTGCTCCCACACTGCTGCACCGGGAGCAACCGAGAGCCGCGGCGCGCGCAGGGCGCAGAGGGGAGGAAGCTTTTCGGAACGACTCATCATCAACATCATCCTGATCCTTTTGGCGCGCGCGCCGCGTTTCCGCGTTTTCGACGAGCGGCGTGCTTTAAAACATGAGGCGCGCATCAGTTTCTTTCCCCAGTGGTCGCGGCCCCCCTCCCCTCCACTTCCCCCCGGGCCGCCCGGGCCTCACGCGGCTTCAAAAACCGCGGCTCTTGACTTGGGCAGCACGCGGCGCGCCCGCCTCCCCTCCCCGCCCCTCCCCGCCCTCCCCTCCCCGCCGGGAGCGGACAAACATCGGGGCAGCGCAGAGCCAATTCATTGCGCGCGTTAGTCTTTCAAACCGCGCGCCCGCTCCTTAAACATAGACACTCCGTGCTCCGCGGGGTTGTTGTCGATTTTCCCCTCGATCGCCTGCCCGCCTGCTCGCCCCTGCCCTCGCCTCCGTGGCCGCGTGGCGGTCGCCTGGCCGCCACCCGCACGGCCGAGGCTGCCCGTCCAGCGAGCGAGTCGCCCTGCAAATCGCCGAAACTATGCAAACGAATTCGCGGAGAGTACGGATCGGGCGCTGAAAGCAGCTGAAAGCACGGCGCGTGGCTCGGCGAGGCTATTCAGCAGGCCATTCAGTTACTGAGTCATTGGTCGGATTGAAGCCGGCAACGCAACGCAGCCTAGCCTCGGTCCGCTCAGCCAATTACATGCGGCCTTTGAGGCTGACAAAGCATTCAGCGGTGCAGCGCGGAGCGCGGAGGCACGGCAGAAGCGATGCGGCCTCAATGGGATGACCTCTCCAGTCTCTCCAGCGAGGAGGCGGGGCCGGAGGAAGAGGGAAACAGAGAGAGAGAGAGAGAGAGAGAGAGAGAGAGAGAGAGAGAGAGAGAGAGAGAGAGAGGGGTTCAACCGCCGCATTTCCATGCGATTTCACATTAATTAGAACAAGCTTCAGGGTATCGCTGGCTGCTTTAGAAAACAACTTCGTTAACATCGGGGGAAAAGGAAACAGCAAAGATAAAGAGAACAGACGAGCGCTGCCCCGCCAGCCCCGCCAGCCCTGCGGAGGCGAGTCGAGTCAAGGGGCTCCGCGCTCCGCAGCCTTTCACAAAGTGAATAACATCAAAAACAGCAGCAGCGGGGGAGGATGGACACTGGTGTGCAGCGGGCTGCTTCTTCTCTAAGTAACGGCCAAAGCTTCAATCCGGCACGCATTTTAAAAAAATGAAAAGGGCCAGTGGAAGCACGAGGGGCTCGTGCAAAACAATGAGTTATAAATGAAAATCGGGGTTCGAATCTACACGAGGGGTTGACAACTCGTGTTCTACTTCATACGCGGTGGCTTTATAAGCTGAATATAACATTGCCAGCATGGCTGACGATACGCTACTGCAGCTTATCGACCCACCCTTTTACCTGGGGACCGTGGTTCGAAACTCAGATTTTCCACTTATTTTTCTGCCGATTGTACGTTGTCAAAGATCCTATAGCTTATGGTACAGCACATAGTGGCAAACTGCGGTCGGGACTCGAGAGCAGATTGGAAGCGGACCGACCCACACCATCGTACGGAAGAGGATGTAAAATTCCACTTCCCTCTTTGCGGCACTGATCCATCCAGCAAATTATAACACGCGTAGGAGGCTCCGATTTCTGGCCCACTGTTAAGGCGGTCGCGATTTCTGACAAACTCTGAAAACATCTCACAGAATCGCAAACAATAAAGCAATCTGTTCAACGAAATTCTCGGTGGGCCCCCCCTCGACCCCTCGCGGCATCCGCGGCGACGCCCCTCCGTGTTCCGTCTTTCCCCGCCATGCCGGCCGACGTCGCCGGCCTGGCCGCGCCGCCGCCGACACCCCTCGCCTCGCCTCGCAGTGTGCCTCGCGCTCCGCATCGCATTACGGGCCGCCATCTTCCCGCGGCACTCGACCTCCCTTCATTGGTGGGGCCCACTGCCGGGGAGAAGGCCTCGCCGCGTCGCCGGCACGCCCTCCGCCGCCCTGGCCCTCCTCCCACGCCGGCAGTTTATTGGTGGCGCAGTGGAGTGGGAACCAGTGGGGACCCGCAGCCCGTTGGGATGGGATCAGATTTTCTTATTGCACTCGGCGCCAAGGTGTCGCCAGCCGGACTAGTGTGGAAAAAGGGTTGCCAACCTCAGCCTCCTCGAAACCAAGTCCTAGATATTGCCTTGGGCGCAAGCTGAGGTCGGCATCCCTATCGACACCGTGGCGCCGTGAGAAACTTTTTGCCTGAAAAGCGGCACTCGAATTTTGCCGCCAAATTGGCTGTGCTGGCGATGGCGGGCTGGGGGCTGGGGCGCTGCGAGACGAAAACGAGTACCGCTCCGCTTGTCTCGGCTGAACTGCGGCCGCGCACCGCCACCGCCTTGCTCATCGCCTTGCTTTCTTTTTCCGGCTGGCGGCGCTCGAGGGCGGCGGTGGCGGCTGCGGCTTGAGGGGCCGCGAGCAGCCCAAGGAGCGCGTAACGGCGGCATCGCAGCATCGCAGCATCGCAGCGCCATCCCGAGTAACGAGGCGTCTTTTGTCCCGGCCAAGGAAAGCGAACAAACTCGCCAAGTCTGCAGATGGCGGGGCTCGCTGCAGGCTTTCAAGGCTTTCAAGGCTTTCAAGGCTTTCAGTCGAGTCGAGGAGGACGTGTGCCGGCCGGGCGCGCTTCGGGGCGTGCAGGCAAGTTTTCGAGTCTAACTTGCGCCATTCTGCGCAAGCCGCATAAGTCGGGCTGAGCAGCAAGCAGCTAGAGCGAGCGCCGTCGGGGCTGCGGGTAGGCAACGCGCCGCTCAGCGCGGCCAGCCGGTGGCCTACCCGCCGGACTGCAGGCGCGCACCGTCGCGCACTTCGCGCACCGTCGCCCTGTGCGCCCCGTGCCAAAGGGTTGTCTCGACGCCCTGCTCTAAAGATTCGCCTCATCGCTCAGTCCTTCTTGGTCTTGGAGAATCTTGGATCCCTGCGAGACTGCGGGGCGCCCGCCGAGCACCGAGTGAGACGAAACGATCCGCCGGGGTACGGCGGCCGGTGGGAACCCTGGAGAACCCCCGCTCGGCTCGGCTCGCCGCGGCTCGCCCCGCGGTCGACTTGTTACGCCGCTGGTGGTGCCGCGGCGTGTGTGGCTGCTGTGGCGGGGGCGCTTACTCTAACTCGGTCTTGGCGGCGGGGCGGCGGGGTGGCGGGGAAGGAGGCAGCCTCCCCGGAAGGCTGCACGGCAAGCAAGCCAGCAAGCAAGCCATCCACTCTGGCAGTACTTGGCCTAACGAGCGAGACACAAACCTGTGCCCCGCGGGGAGCCAGCCCGCGCCAGCCCAGCCTCACAAGCCCAGGCCGTCAGGCGTGAGC